GCCGACTTCCACCCGGTGCTCACGCTGGAATTGAGGCTGTCCTCAGGGCTGTGGACGCACACCTGCCCGTCACTCCCCTGCCTACCAGCAGCCTTCCCCTTGCAGCAGGGCTACCCGGCTGCCCAGCAGGTGTTCCTAGGGCCAGGGGGCCGGAGGTTTCTGTCACCTATGAGTGAGTGGACGCAGGAGCTCCTATGCAATGGTAACAAAGAACTGTTTTCTGCTTCTCGCTTTCCTGAGAATTACAGATGCCCGGACCTGGACAGGGAGCTCTGGTGGCGTAGTGCCTAAGGCACCTGACTGCTAACCAGAAGGCTAGCAGTTCAAACCCACCAGCCACTCCTCGGAAGGAAGGTTGGACAACCTACTTCCGTAGTGATACTGCCTCAGAAACCCAAGGTGGGGTTACTGTGAGTCAGATCTGACTCAATGGCAGCGAGTTTGGTTTCAGACCTTGACAAATCATTCTTTTCAATTCTCCAGTTGTCCCATATGTGGTTGCGGCAGGTCCTGATTTTCAGGTAAGAACAGATTCATGTTTTTTTTGGTTTTGTTTATAGATTCATGGGGAGCTGCAAATAAATAGCATCGGGATGTCCCATGGGCCCTGCGCTCAGTTTCCCCAAATGGCTACATCTTATGTGTCATCAATTTCCAACTCATACAGCCCTACATGACAGGACAACTACCCCTAGGGTTTCAAGGCCGTAATCGTTTAGGAAGCTGACTGCCAACCTCTGGGTTAGCAGCTGAAGGCTTAACCCTGGTGACACCAGCAGTCTCCGCCACGTCACATGCTAACAGTTGCCATTGAGTCCAGCCAGACTCGTGGTGACTCCGTGGGTGACAGAGCGGCCTGTGTCACAGAGGTTCTCCTGTCTTTACGGGAGCAGATCACCAGGCCTTCTGTGGTGCTCTGGGTGCATCAACCGCCAACCTTTACATTTCATAAAAACCAACCCACTATCATGGACTCGATTCTGACTCGTGGTGAACCCCATCGGGTTTCCAAGGCTGTAAATCTCTGTGGAAACATTGCCTCATCTTCCCCCCAGGGAGCAGCTGGCAGGTTTGCATCACCTGCCTTTTGGTTAGCAGCTCAATGCCTTAACTACAGCACCAGCAGAGCTACTAGGTCCTGGAGACCGCTCACGTGAAGTGTCGGGAGCGTGAGACTGACACGGGTACGGGGTGTGAGGGTCTGTGCCATTTATCACACGGGTAGACTTCTGTCGCCACAGTGCGCCAAGGCAGGTCTGTCCCAGCACCAAGAACCCCCTCGTAGTCACAACCAGCCTTCTGC